TCCTGTTTAAAAATTTGCATATCTATTTGAAATGATGATCTTCCGCTTTGCTAACTGGACAACTTACATTTAAACCAGAAAAATCCAAAAACTTTTGATTTAAATACATCTTGTTTAAAGAAACTTACTTTATCAACTCGTATACAACCCATCGTCCGTACAGCTAATGCTCGGATAAGCGGATTTGGATCCTCACAATCCTTAAAAACTTTTCCTTTCATATCAAAAAAACTTGCTTTGACAATTGAAAAAAAGAATTAAAGAATTTTCCCCGATTTCAGATTACTTCTCAGTATAGAAAAAAGACCGATAATTGACACAGTTTCTCATGTTTAAAGCAATATCAATATTTCAATCCAAAATACGATTAAAACCATACATCAACTTTACGATGTGATTAATCTAAACATCGAAAGGGCTCGAAACATGCTAATTAGCCCACCACTCTGGTATAACAGCACCATCAATTGGGAGATGAACAATACCTTCCAGGTAATCGCATACTTTTACAGAAATAGAAAAAAAGCTAACTTTCACAAATGTATTAACCGCCATAATTGCAAGATCTGGTTGACTTTTGGCATAATTCATCAAATAGAGATAAACTAGCTTCTTTAGCTCAACATTGTCCGTTTGCATACAATTCACCACATCCGGAAATAGTGCGCTAAAAAATTAAATTTGTAAATATTACTTGAATTCTAATTTTTGCCATTAATCTGTGTAAATTTAGCTTTTAATCTGCATGAAACTAAACAAATAACATCTTATGTCATACTAAATTGTTACACTGCACAAATGTGCATAGCGTATTGTCTGAAGAACGTTTGCGTTGATTATCTGAATACAAAAATTGCTAATTTAGCAAAAAAGTACCTGACATCTTTACCGACAGTCATGCTTGCAATAACTTTCTTCACTGCTTCTCTTTTCTTTTCCTTCTTGTCCGAATTCAATTCATTTTTCAGTTCAAATATTTCACCTGCAAAAAAAGAATTGTCTTCTTCCACTCTTCCTCTTTGTGAAGTGAACTAAATGAAATTTCAAGGAACAATGTTTATTTCAGAAACTACTTTTGTCTCTAAAAGCCTCATGACAATGAAATTAGAAAATACAATGAAAAAATTTATTTCAGACAATCTTTTCCCCCATTACTTTGGTATCACTAAAATCGTATGAGTAAATCAGTCTTCGTCATTAATATGAATCCTATAATAAAATCATCAAAGATTTAAAAAAGATATATCAAGGAGGCGAAATTACATCAGACATTCGATTGCATGGTAAAAAGTAAGAAATTTTTGAAATAACAACAATCTGATTAAAATACATATAAAATCAGTACACTTGATTCATTATTTCTTCCTAAAACAATAATTTTATCATAAAAATTAACCTTTTTTGGTGGTTGTGAAATATTTTGAATCGGTCATCACGAATTACCTGCAAAAAGCTGGAAAAAAGTAATTGTAGGAATACTGTTCCATTAAAGTATCATTAGCAAAAAGTGATAAACGCAAATACTTTCAATAATTAGATAACTGATTCTCAAAGATGGGTAATTTGTGTTATTATGAAATGAATATGAAAATTCATAACAAAAATAATTTTATCTGATTATAGCAAATTTCATCCCAAATCCAATCAAAATAAAGCGCTTCAATTCAACACACTGTTAACAAACAATATTTTATATACATTTTGTGTACTAAATGAATGCTTTGGGAATGACAAATTCGTTTCTAATTTTTTAATTTTTAATTTTTAACTTAAATTTCTAATTTTTTAACTTGTTAATTATTTTGCAAATTACATAAAGAATTCACCACAACTCGTCCAATTAATTACTTATATGCAAATTAAATGTTTGAAGAAAAAAAGAAAAAAACATTCCGTCACTTTTACATAACTAATAACTTTCCAGTACTAATGGATGATTGTGTTTTTTTACTTCCAGTCAAATTTCCAAATTTAAAAAAGATAGTTTTCTGGAAAACACTATGTGATAATAAACTGGAATAAATATTACATTACTTTTTCTAACTCAAAGAACTGGAATAAATATTATATTATTTTTTCTAACTCAAAGCTTAACGTAATTGATGCTAAACTAAAAGATGAAATGAAACCAATTGATACCAAAACAGAAAACTGTAAAATAAATCTTCATAACATTTGTATTCAATCACATCAAACTTCCCATCTTCGCCATAACATTTGGATTTAATCACATCATACACCCTTTCCAATTATTATTTTAAATATTTGTAAACATCAAAAACATTTGAAGTGAAACTTTTCACGCTTATTTAATCGTTCATGTGTTTCTTTCTTAAACAGGTACTAAACTTTGGCTTCAATAAATATGTTCATTAATAAATAACTACAAACCGACTTCAACTTTAATAATAATTTTTTTTCTTTTCTTTTCAGATAATACATATTAAAACTTGGTCCGAAACAAAACTTGGTCACTTTTAAACAATAAATTTTATCTGCCAAATAATAAGGTTTATTTCATGGCAAAATTCTGTATGCTACACAAGGACAAATGTGTTTTGTTTAGAAATACCTGCAAAAGTTAACAAAAAAAAAAAAGATTGAAGAGAAATAAAAAGAATGACCAGAGGACAGTTTAACTGAAAATGGAAGCAGATATGACAAAGACAAGAGGATAGCACTGCTAATTGAACATTAATGAATGTACTAAAATTTGTGATAATTCATTTCAAAAATACTACTGAAATACAAGAACCAGAAAGAGAGATCAAAATAAGTCTCTAAATTAGTAAAATATTCTAATAAAAACTTTAAATATTTCAAATAAACTCGATGTATTCAACCAGTAAACTTATTATCTCTTCGAATCATTCTTTCTGTCAAAGTGTTCGAAATTCACGATTGAACTCTACGAAACTTATAAAATCTCTCGTTCAATCATTACATAAAATTTTTTTTCACACTATTAAAACGATAATGTTGACAACAACAATAGCAATAATAATAATAATAGTAGTAATAATAATAAGTACACTTGCACAAAATACACCTTTTCCCTTTCTTTTTTTCCCTCTCTCTCTCTCTCTCTCTTTTCTGGAATGGTACTTAATACAATAATTATTAGGAATTATAAAATTCCCACATTCTTTATAAAATAGTTACCAAGAAAAAAAAGAAAACAAAAGTAATTCAAAGATATAATAAAAATCAACGATTACATTAAAATAAATTACAAAAGGAAACGAATAGAAACAATAGAAACTTTCAAATTTTAGCATTCTACTTCTTTATTTATTACAATCAAACACTAAATGATGATGACCCGATAAAAAAGGAAAGAGAATGAAACTGAAAATCAATTTTATTTTATTGAAAAATCTAATATTTAGAAGAATAGATGAAACAATAAATTTGTAGCTAACTAATCAGTGATAAAATACTTCGCTATCTGAAAAGAAGCACTGACATAATATTTAATCTTTCTCATTTTTTCTTTAAAAACTTTACCTCCCTATTATCATCTTATCATTGTTGGAAGAATAATCGCAAAATGTTATTTTCTCTCCCCATATATATTTGCAATTTTTAATTTTATTTATATTAAATTTCTAGAAAGTTAATGCGTATTTTCTCAAAATAAGCCTAAATTACTAAAACATTTGTTTTCAGGTTTAATTTGTACAAATAATTCCTCTAATAATAATAATAATAATAATTCATTTTGTTAACTTGTTATTAATTTATACTACCGGTATACTGCCACTATAATTTATATCACCACATTTTCATTTTTTGATGATATCACACTGCTTTGTTCATTCTCCTTCAGAAACAATCTCAAATGGAAAAAAAAAAAGAAACGAAAGAAATCACAATTTTAGCATTCGTTAAAAAATTCCAATAGTTGAAAAAAAAAACACCACCTTCAATGCAAAACGCATCATCATAATAAAAGTGATGGAATATATATTATCGCTTCCACAATTATATCATATACAAAAAATAATTTGGGGGGAATAATGCGCAATATTTATAGCTCCTTATACTAATATTTATTGAACTTATGAAACATATAATCAAAATCAGACAACCTAATATTATCTAAAAATATTTACAGTGGATGGATAAACCAGGATATTATCATTGTCGCACAATAAAGAGAATATCTGGAAAGTCGGATTTTTAAATACACATGAGAAAAAAAAAAATGTACAGTAAAAAGAAGAATTAGAAGATAGTAGTAAGCAAACAACAAAAATGACCGGGAAAACAACAATGCACGCATGAAAATTTATCCCATCAAAGGAAAAGACAGAAATTAAGACATAAAATCATAGCAACTAAATTATCATATGCTTATAAAAAGATCCTAGCCATACTACAAAAAAAAAAAAAAATAATAATAATAGTAAAACATTATTTAAGATATCAATAGTAACCGTGAATTAAAAATTTTTAGTTATTAAATTTCAGCTAGTTTAGATTTCTTCTTACAGTGCTAGAACCGTGGTTTTTTTCTATCAAAAACACTATTACATTCAGTTATCAAAATAACTCTTATCAGTTTAAATTAATCCAAGTTAAAATTTCTGGAATCATAGTAAATACGATACTACTACTAAAAATTCGCTAAAATTCAATAATATCATGGATTCTTTTTAAATTAAATATTGGAAGAACTACCAAAATGTTCTACTTCCATGCATAAAAGCATCTTTAAATTAAATTTTAAGAAGTTATGATTATTCTGCTTCTTACTGTACCTTGCTAAACTGTCTTAAATTCTCAAACATGTATACAAATTTCTTTCACACTTCCTGTTCAGAAATATATGAGCACTTATGAAAGCCATAATATCTCTAATATTAAAAGAATTTTTACAACTAAATATGGAAATTTCGCGCCTACAAAGACGTAAAAGATTCCCTGAATCAAACAAAGCCTGAATGCAATTCAAGGAACGGAACTAATGAAACTTTCCCTTCGCATTTTTTAAATAGTTATATTTCGCTTTTCTCTTTCCTGCAATACAATTCCTTCAACGTCTTCAACTCTTCAATCAATGCTTTATTTTGATTTTCCAAAACAGCAACACGATTTTCTAAACATTTGACGTATTCCTTTTTCTTCCGCCTGCATTCTTTTGCTGCTTCTCTATAATAAAACAAGGGAAATCAATACTGTGCGAGTTATATACTAATTCATTTATTTCTCAACATATTTTACGATGCATTCAAAGCGATTACTTCAATTCAGCACAATAATAAAGTAAAAGATTGTGAGAAGTCCTAAAACAATGCAATGTTATTCAAGAATCTATAACTGAATTAACACTGAGTGCATACTAATAAGATCCAACAATTAAATAACAAACGGTAAAGAGAATCATCGACTGTGGAAAGACTACTATAACCGAATTGATATAGTGCATCATGCGTGATGCATGATAAATTTTTACGTATGAATTCTGTGACGTGAGAATAGCTCTCAGACTAAGCGCAAAAAAAATCCAAAAAATTTTTTTAAAAAATTATAAATTCTTTGTCATGCAATTTTAGCATCGATTTCTAGCTATTTTTTCCTTGAAAGTTAAAAGCTGTTCACCTGTTCTTCAACAGCCGTACTTGTCTTTTCCGTGTGCTATCATCACTTTCGGTGGCTGTTCGACTGCCACCAGCCATACCAAGCGGTGATGGAGATGATGTGTAACCGGAGATCACAGTAGATTGCCAATCTGCAATTTCACTTATTCTGGTTTAGATTTTGTCTTAGCTTTAGGATTACAAAAGCATGCCTGAAGTTTTGAGGAGTAAACACACAAGCAGTTCAAAAGATCTAACAATTTTTTTGGGGATATCTTAGACTTTTGGCAAGCTTACTCTTCAAAACTTAATATATACGATATATATGCATGTTACTATTTATAAGTACATTTCTGAACCAAACAAACTGAATATGAACCCAAATATTCCTTTTTCTACAGAACCGTTTGTTGTTTGTGTGTTTCTTAAGTTTCATACTGCTCCATCAAGGTAGACTTGAAAAATCTACTATTTCAAATGTTCTATTCCTTAAATGTTCTAAGAAATCAGAAAAGCCTTGATGTGAGAACAACCAACTTTACTTAGAAGATATTAGCTTAATCCAGCATTTTTCTAAATCATAATTAATGCAGGTGCAGGATTCAAGAAGGCTTGATTTGAAAGACTTCAAAGAACTAAAACTAATAAGTAATCAAAAAATGGAAACCGCTGCCTTGACTAGTTCCTTGATTTGATGGGACATATTGTTGCTGCTGACCATCACCACCAGCACTCATCGTTTTGAGACCCAAAACTTCGGCATTTACTGGCAGCATCCCTGGAACTGGTCCCGATGATGATCCTGCCGTCTGGCCTAATTCCTGTAATCAGTAGTCATCGATACAGGAAAAATAATTCCACATTTCTATAACTGGAATTAGGTCTTCAATATATACGCTGCATTTCCACCTCTCTTTACTATCCTATTACTTGTTTCTATTCATTCAGTCTTTTTCTATCTCCTTCTGCCAGTTAATGATTAAGAGGGTAAGGATTAGCAATCCTATAAAAATAAATCACTAAATTTATAGAAAAGAAAGAACGGTACATAGGTAAAACTATTATTACCTGTGCATTTTTTGATGTACTGGTACTTGCTCGTGACGCAGCAGCCGCTGCAGCTGCAGCCGCTGCTGCGACAGTAGCAACTGGTGAATACTGTCCAATCATACCTGCTGCTCCAACATTATGCATGTTGGTAAGTGTTGCTGAATTCAGTGTTAGATTGCCATTCGTTGTATGCAGACGTGTCAACCCTGTAACTCTCAACTATTATTAGCAAACTTCCAATTTCAAAAATGAAAGCCGAGTTTTCCAGCTTCCGAAGTGATCGTCATCACGCGAAATCCAATCATTCAACAGATTAATCTGTTGAATAATGATGATTATATATTTCTCAGAATTGATATAGAGTTAGTGCTGAAAAATGCACATAATGCTATCAAATTAGTCTTCAATCAACTCTACTATCACAACGAACAATATTTTAGACTATTTGTCATATATGAGGTATCGTTAGGTAGTGGATGTGAATGCTTGCTGCCCTAAAAAAAAATGAAAATGACCTCGAAATGGATTTTAGAGTACAATGTCACAATATATAAAACATTTGATGTTATTTGGTGGGAAATAATTTAAAAAGATAAATAATTCGTTAAAAAAAAAAACACGTACCGGAAGGTGTAATGTATTGAACTTGTTCAAGTCGAGAAGAGATTGCTTGTTGCTCCGATAACTGAGCATTGGGATCCTGTCTTAGAGACATCTGTGATCGAACTGTTTCCACTGTAATCATCTCTCAGTGCAGTTTCGTTATTTACACATCATATTGTGCGGTCTCAAAGTAAATGATAAATTCAAATCCATCTACGGTGGAAGAAGTCACAACGTCCATAAAGTTGAACAGTTATGCGAAAGGATGAAAATTAGAATAAAACAAATTCTTGATCAAAATGATTAACATTTAATAACTAATTGAGATGGACTGGTCATTAATTTGTTATAGCAGTAGTATTTTTTTTTTTTTTTGAAGGCTTGAATACTCAATACATTATGGGTAACACGGTAATACGAATTAGTGCTCAGAGTTTGTGCATTCTACCTAGACCAACAAATAGAGAGCTTTAGCGATCCTTGCTTAGTTACAGAAACAACAATGCAAATGTAACCTTTTGAACTAAAGATGCTACATATCGCAACAAATATTTACAAATAAAATATCAGAAATGAAATAATCTTACAAACCTGATTCTGCAGATGGCTGAATAACCACGGAAGCAACGCTCTGTTCATCCGGCTCTTTTTTGAGTTGTTTATCTACTGTCTCCAAATCTTTTAGAATCATTCTGTAAAGCAGAATCATGTTCAAGACTTATTTAAGAAAAAAAAGAGAAAAAAGGTACAACTCGACTTTTCTTTTGTCGATTGCATTAGCCTAGGGTAAAATTCATATATTCAAACATAGCATCACTTATTTATATCTATTTTTGACATTGCTAACAATTAAACTTCGTCTTGTTCCAAGTCAAGTTTCCAACAACATAACTTCTATAGACTATCATTTGTGACACATCAAGATGACAATGAGATGGATATAATACAATCGTTACTTACTGCTAACTTTTATAAAGCCGAATAGAAAATTAGCTTAAAATGCTAATCCTAAAAATTTCACAGCTCACATTAAAAAAAAAGAAAAAAAAAACATTTTATGCTTTCAATATCAAGTCAACGACAATATTTAAGCAACGTCCTGAGAAAAGGGATAAATAATCAAAATTTCTTAAGTGAAAAACTAAGCAATAAATTTTTTCTCAAAATGGAATATTACATAATATTAAAAAAAGATATATTACTAATATTAACACGCACTAATATCAAGTTCAATAAAATAACTTTTGTTTTCATTAAGAGAAAAATTTTTTCAAAAAAAAAAAAAACGAAAACTGTAAATGGAACATGGATATTGTTCCAACATTTGAAAGATATCACGTGGATAGAAGAAATGAAAAATTCAAGAAAATATATCAATGATATGAGAAAAGAATCGATAGAATCACAATTGCTTCCACAATCTAGCCCATTATGTAATAGAGAAAGCAAACATATTTTTTATATGAAAGCAACCAATTTCACTGAATAATTCTTGATTTGCTGAGAAAGTGCAAAACACTGATGAAATTATTTTTTAATTACATTGTAGCAAACGAACAGAGATGCGCATAAAAATTTACAAATGTGCGCAAATAATGAATGCACCTTTCGTTAGTTTGCAAAAATATTCATAGAAATGAACAAATTTGCAAAAAAAAAAAAAAAGTATGTACTCCTCATGAACTAGTTAACAGGAGAATGCAAAAGGTGCGAAAAAAGTGCATTGTTATAGAGTGAATTTTTAGATGAAATTGCACAAATTTGTTAATAATAATTTGCTTATATATCAAGGTCATTTCTCGATAGTTCAATGACTTGATATTTAATTAACTGACAAATTAATATATCATATGTTTGGTTCTCATTAATAAATCACCAAAATAAATTATCAACTAGCTAAAAAAAAAAAAAAAAAGGAAATTTTAAGCAAGCAAAAATGAAAAATCATTTCTCCTTATGTCTCTTAATAGCTTCAACTTCTCTTTTATATATGCAATTCCCGACATCGTTAACACTTTTCACTTCAGCCAATATCTCAACATCAGCTAGCCTTTTATGGTAGTATTAATTAAACGAATACAGCATGTAACAGTAGTTAATCAGCACATTAAACGGAAATAGTTTAACCATCCGTTGACAAAATACTTATGAGGTGCAATCCTTTGTTATATATACATTACATTGAAGGAAGAACAATCCTGGTGTGTTAAGCTGAAGTTTAAATTTGGTTTTTTTTTTTTTATGATCAGAAAAAAGATAACTGAAATGGACAAGACAATAGCAATACCTTGTGATATTCGTTTTTTCTTTTTTTTTCCTTTTTACTCATTTGTATATACATACACGCATTAAGTCTTCACGTAAAACCAAGATCACTCACCTGTTATCACTATAAAAATTTATCATAAATTCTTATTTCTCCGATCAAAAACTCATCCAAATTATTCGTTCTCTTAATTGGTCATTGAGTCTTATATATTTTTTTTAAATGTTGAAAACATGCATTTCAATGAGTTATATCCTCTGAATATCTTATTACTGTGAAAAACTGTTATGCAAGAGAAATTTCTTGAAAATTTCCGATCAAGGTATTCAAGCCAATATCGACTGCCGGATGCATAAATGATAATGAATATTTGTCTCATTAAACTTTATCTTACGAAACAATGTTTATAAACTACTGAAGCATTTATGAAACTTACAACTATTTACTTAATGAATAATTCGACACAGTGAATATTGTGAAAATGACACGCGGTTTTATAGTTATTCCAAGTTGCTTAGCTTAATGAGAAAAAAGAGAAAAGAAAAAGAAAGAAACATCAAATTAAGCAGTTAAAAATTTTGAAAATAACAAAAGATGAAGTTTAAAAAACTTGGTTATTTTGTTATGTATTAAATCTTAAGAAATTTTACTTCTTCCTAACAATAGTTTGATAATTTGAACATCAGCTGTTTAGCATTTAAACGAATTAAACTATGTGGGTCGTATAAAACCATCTCTCTACCTATACGCATATATTGAATTTGCAATATATAAACGAAATACTGATATCCAATTCACTTATCGATGAAATATAATATTAATTGATTTTTAAAAGGAATTGTAACAACATAAAGTACTGTAATCCCAAAAAGAAGATTATTTAAAATAATTTTCTTGTTACTAAAAACTTTTTTAAACAAAAATTAAATTCAAATTAAAAATGAAATAAAATGACAAAATTTATTTAGAATCATTAAATTAATCCATTACAAAAAGCAGCTGCTTTTCAGATGTCTTACTTTTTGAAGGAGCAGAACCATAGGAGTAGAACAAAGAAAGAGAAAAGAAAAATAAACTACAGCAGGAAATATGTTCAGCTAAATAACATCTCGTTAGATATTGATAATATATCCATAGCTGGTTGAGAACAGACGGAATGAAGATAGACACATTTGCATTTATTCTTCACTTTTAGCTTTAAAAGAAAGCTAACACTTTATTACTAAGTAAAGTAAGTCAAATTTAAAGTTTAAAAAATTTACAATCCACTGATACAATAGCATTAAAAATTTTTGAATTATTACTATTGCTATTTCTGCTATACATGTAATAAAAAGGTAGCCATTTTGTTAGAATGTTCTTTATTGTAGAATTCATATTTATAAAGTATCATCTTTTTCTCCTCCATTTATTTATTCCGATTTTTTTTTTTTTACACAGATACATATATGCATAGTCATTTTTGATTTGTGCTAGAAATCGGAATGAAAGATTATTGATACAAATGAGAACCTAATATTATTTATATTGTCTTGATGAAGTAGTAGAGTAACAAAGTAATCCGATGATCCACACTATCATTAGGAAAGTGTTCCATTAATGATGAAAGTACTGCAACAAACGAGTAAGAATGAAAACAAAAGAAAAGAGAAAATATTCTAAAAGCTTTCATACGTCAAAATCTATAAGACAAATGCTACGGGAAGGGAAGAGAAATTGCGGGCAAGTTGTGTATGTAGTATGTATGCATGTGTGTATGTGTATGTGTATGTATGTGTGTGTGTATGTGTGTATGTATGTGTGTGTGCATATATATGTGTGTATGGTTGGCATATGCTCTTTTATACGGTACAAAGTACGAAAAAACAAAAAATCTAAAAGAAATGAGAAGGCCCTTTATCAGAGAGTACGGAACGATCGAATAAACATCTCTGATTGCACTACCATATTACTCGCTTCTTTCTTTCTCCTTCCCTCTCTCTCTCTCTCTCCCTCTCCCTCTCCCCTGTTTACTTTCAATATGTTTTTGTGTTAGCGTCAAAAATATAAGAAAGAGAGAAAGAGAAGAGTTAAAGAAAGAAGTAGAAATAAAATTTGGACTATTAAATAGTGAAAGTTATTTTCGAAAGAAATATACGAAGATTAAATGCAGAACTGGGCATGGCAACTATGTCATATGAAGTAAGCAATAAAGCTTATTTACGTAAGCATTAGCTAAGCAAGTAATGGTCATTATTTCCTCAGAAAAGACGTAATATACGCAAATGGAAGAGTGTTAAAAAATGGTAGTTATTGTTGCTAAGCTTTTTTTTATTTAACTTTCTTTTAGATTATCCATAACAGAGAGAGTTAATGAAGCTTAAAATTGAAAATAAAAATTAAAGAATTAAGTAGAAAAATATCTTGGGAATATTCAACATCTCTTTTATAATATTACAAGATGAACATTTAATGGAATTTTACAGTACACCTCAATTTATCAAAGAATTAACAAAAAAAAAAAAAAAAAATCTACAATTCGGGAAGGAAATAAATGAAGCTGAATCAATAATAAGCAAGAATATGGAACATATGAATTGAAAGAAGCAAACAGACAAATAAATGGATAAGTTAAAAAAGCTTTGAAAATTTAAACAGGTTAAAAGAGAGGAATGAAAAACGTTCATAGTCTTCATATCCACATATATACACACATACACATCTACATATATGTATATATAAATTTATAATTACTACTAGCCGAAGTTTCACCTTTTCTATCTCTCTCCATCCTATCTGACAATTTGAAATTGACGTCATACTTGCACTTCGAATAGAAAATGACGAATATAGGAGAGAGTGAAAAAGACAACTCTACTTTCTCTCCTAACTGCTTTTCTCCGTAACAATTCTCCTTAATGAATAAACAAGACAGAAATTTACATCACTGAATGGAGGGGTTTTTTTTTTTTTTTTTTCTACAATATGTAAGCGAAGGACATTCTCTAGGGAGAATGTTCGAGAATTTCTCGGAGAAATTTGCAAATATCTTTCATCTAATTTAATTTTTCTTCGCCTATAACTAATTATTTCCTAAGTTGCTTAAAATTAATGATTTTCCTTCGCTAAATTACCAATATCAGATCAAATACGGAATACATGTATAAAAAAAAAGTGAAATATATAAGAAATATATATATATATATATATAAAGTGAAACTAAATATAGACTTAGGAACAAGTAAATCTGTCCTAATGCATTTAGCCGATCAGAATCAGTATCAGGATCTCATCAAAATATGCCAAGATAAACAGCGAAAAATAACAGTTTGTTCTAACAATCCAGATAAGTCGTATATCTTGAAATCCTATCGGTTTGATGGCAATACAATTGTATTTAATGAAATTTAGAGGTCATAACTAGCGCAAAATCATAATCACCAGATGACAAGATATTTGCTATAGTTGCATAAAATTTTTCTTTCCCCACCTCTCTGCTCATTTGTGGAAAAATAATAATTCATTCGTTTCATTCGAATTGCTATAACTCAAATTTAAAGATATAGAAAAGAAGAATGATAAATAATAATTTTTACGAAAATACTATGATCACTTTTATTGCTATACATATATCTGGTAGAATCTAGCAAAAAATGAAATTTGATCCTTCACAAATTGTTGCTTCAAATCTGTGATGTGGATAACATACGTCCAATATTGTAGAATGAATATCTAGAAATGTTACAAATATTCTAACTTTTCCATTGCTGGATAAGGCATATTCAGTAATTTCCAAAATTTCCAAAACTCCACCCTTCCAAACAGTACAATAATTTGAAAGATCGTAAATCAAAAAGAAAAATAAAAAACTATGAAAAAGATACGATAAAATTCTATTTCAAATATCTGAATCTCTCAACGAGAAACATTCAGAATTCCACGGGAATTCCAACAAGAAAGAAGAAAAAATCATGGTCAATTAACAGATCTCATCTCTATCTAAAAGCTTCAAAATCACCCAGAATGTCATTTAAATTCGAACCACTTAGTAATAATTTTTTATTCGTACACGTTCCATTCTTAATCACAATTAACTCATCGACTTTAACCCTTTAACCTTTAATTTAATTTTTTATCTGTTCTTTTAAGTCCTTTCGTTCAAAATCGAATCCACAAAAATTCTAAAATAAATGCTGGTTGTTCATAGCAGAATACCCATAAATGGTGATGCTTCGTTAATAAAGACTAGAAATAGGAAAGGAGCAGGAATAGAGTGTCAACAACAATACTGTACAGCTTTACTTATTGAGGCAAACTCTCGTAAAAAAATGTATAACAAAAAATTTGTCAATTTAAATGATAAATGGTAGCTGAAAAAGCGATGAAATCATTTGGTGTATGATTTCTTTAAAAAATGACGAGAACAATACGATTAAAAGCGATAAATCAGAGTAGCAGTTTAAACTATAAACCTGAACGTCGGAGATTAAATTGTACCCTTCACTCTTTCTCTAAATTTCTAATAGCTAATAAACATCACCGAAAGATTTCTAAGTTATTATTTTGACAAAAAAAAAAAAACAAAAACACAAAATTCAGTCATAGAAAAATTCATTATAAACTGAATCTATCAACCAAACCATGTAATCTCGAAAAAATACGAAATACCTTGAAAAAAAAAACTAAAAGTATTGCCGAATTCTCGTAAACTTTATTTATTCAAGTGTAAAAGTTATCTGCATCAATGCAACAGCATGATGCTATAACAACTAATTTGGCTTTTAAACAACAACAAAAAAAAGAGAAATAGCTACAGCTCATTTCTTCTACACGTAAATTCGAGGTAACTGTGGAAACACAAAATAATTAAATACAATTACATCATATATTTGTACCAAATGCTTTTTTATGCAGCATTAATAGATCATTAAGTGATCTTTTAGGTTCATTGTTATCTTTGTGCGTCGGACAACATTAAAAAAAAAATGAAAACAATACTTATCAAATATAGTACTTCATTAAGGATACATGTCAACGAATTTCGTTTATATATATACTAAAATTTCTCTATCTGTAAACTACAAAGCGATGCAGTCTCAAACTAAATTGCCATTTCCTCTTAAGAGATATTTACTTATCTAAAAGAGCAATGGTTGCTTTACAGATGGACTGCCTACAAGGTATATATTCTAAAAAACCAAAAAATCATAATATACAGTCTCAGAAATATAAATCTCTAATATTGAAATGATATTCTGAAATTCAATTTTATGTATAAACAAAAAGCAATATGAAGAGTCAAAGAAGAATTAATTAATTAATTAACCGATATGATGGTCGTCGATTGAGTTGTTCGCGACGTCGTCGTGCCTCATCGTCACTGATTATTTCATCGTTCGATTGGTTCTGTAGGATCACTTTTGCGAGCACTTTCAGCTGAAAATTCAACATATCCAAATGGTTTTGATAACAACAAGCATGCAAATCTAGCAATATTTAACAACAAAACTACCATCCAAAAATCAAACATGATAAAAAACAATAAAAACGTATGAATTTCTAGTGGAAAAAGAAGAAAGTTCAATTTTTAACACAATTTAAAATGGGAGCTATTTGAGAATTTGGATCAAATATTTTTTTAGTCATCATAGTTATTTAAAATACAAATACAGCTTATTTACTGCTTTTTAGGTTACTTCTATAATCTCCTACCAAAAAAAAAAAAGAACAGGCAAACTTTCCAGGATATGTAAAGATACAATGAATGCATTGAAATATGAATTGTAATTTGAACGATGTCTAGAATCATGTCATTTAAAAAGCGTTAATATGTACGGCCTATCATTAAGTACGGCTGATTCACATTCATAAAGCATTTCATGACATAGACTGTACTTCCTTCGAATGATATCATGATCCACAGTATTATTTTTCACAACTGACGACGTTATGACAAATACTTTTCCAGTCATTACGTAAATGTCTGGATTGTTAACATAAACTGCCTTTCGTCAACATGAAACCTTTTTATATAAGAGTTAGTAGCTTAATAATTTTAATTGAAAAATGCCTATCTTTGAAAGTAAATTAAATTTTTTCTTTTTTTCTTTTTTTTTCCTCGTAAATAAAACATTTCTGCTGCGAAACACTAATCATATTCAAAAGAATCTCAAGCAGTATTTGGAAATTTACTAATGTTATGCACATTTCATCCTTTAAATATATATTTATATGAAACAACATCTTCTATATCCTGTCTTCTTAGTAATTCAAAAAACTAAAATGAAAACAGTTACCGTTTCTGGTTCGCTTGTTGATGGATTATTTATAATAGATGGCTCACGTGACATCGCTTTCGCCCCTTCTCACTCCTTCTAACGCATACTTTTCCCTGTAATAATGATTTGAGACGTATAAAAAAAGAGCTGTCCTCAATGATGCATTACAGCACGCAATCTTCTTTCACTAAAGGTGGAACATACTTGAAAAGAACTTCAAGGGATACGTATTTTAGAAGCAGTTCGAATTATTCGAGTAATTAATTAAGTACTTGTGAAAATTATCTTAAATATTTTGTTTTCTGTCATTAAATATTTCTGAAAAATGCAAATAAAAACGAAAAGGAAAGGAAAGAAAAAAAAAAAGATCATTTAGCATTTCCGTACAATCATCAACATGTTATGTACATTATTATTCACGAACAAAGAAACTAATTATAAACAAGAAAGCAAAAAAAAAAAAACAGCGGATAGTAAAGAAATGACATATTGGTAGAATAAGACATTCAAAAAATATTCAGCAATATTGCTCGGGTATTCTCATTATCATCATTTTTTCTGCATTATTATTATTTTTTTCTTTTACTTCTCTGTGATTTCGATGCTTTTTGTCTGATCAATATTTATATTACAAAACGATTCTCCTAGACAAATTCGAGTAAAAATTAAAACTTGACTTTGAAACTAAATTTAGCAGATCAAGAAAGTAACCCAAATAATTTAATAAAAAATAAAGAACTAAATAAAACAGCTCATTTAAATTCGAAAGCTTGAATCAACTAAAATTTGAAGAACTGAAACTTTCCTATGCAAAATGAATTATTTCTCGACTTTCAAAGGATAAATAAGCCAGCTGTCACCGTCCAAGATATATGCCGCTTTCAAACAGCTCTTTCCTTACTCCCTCATCTGCCAGGTACCACATTCTTATAAAGTTCATTACATTTGCGAACGTTGAACACTACTAAAACTTCTCAAATTATAAGTATTACGAGGGGAGAACAAGCAGAACACTAAAAATTTACTTTCATTGATGCATTATAGAATCCTTCATTCGAATTACAGCAAGTGCAAATTGAAAACAAATTGCATACAAAAGAAAAAAAAAAAACCACTACCCAAAGAGTAAATATCTTATTCGTTCAACAAATCATCACAAGATTTCTTCCTAATGAGAAAAAAAAGTACAATGTTATCGTATGAAACATTTAAAATTAAATCATACAAATTTCTCGAACAGCTATAAAAACTCAAAAAATATACTATTATGCATATCTTTGATAGTATTTCCATTATTATAATAATCTGTCAAAATTTTCAATTATTACACGTTCTTTTTTCTTTTTTCCTTTTTTTTTGAGAGAGAATTTATTGATTCAACAAATGTTTTGTATCATAAATTTAAATATGAAACAAAATGACATCAATATCACTGTAGTATCATTAGAGTACTAAATGATGCTTATACCATACAATATGATCAAATTGATAGTACATGACAATATTGGTATGATTTAAAAATATATATTTTTTTTTTCAAATGAAATAAAAAGAAAAAAAAAACAGGAAGCAATGAATTAAATCTTAGTTTCTTATACATTTCTCTTATATTTGTAGTAATAAAATTAATATTTTCTTTTTAATTACTGCTTCCATTTACTTTTTAAGTAATTAAACTCCTTAAATAATTAATTTTGATTAATCCAAATAACTTTTCAAATTAAAATGCTAAAAAATGGATACATAATTGTACATCACAAACATATTATCACTGTGAATGAAACATAAAATGACGTCACCGAATAACCGTAACCCAAACATTCATACATTTCATGAACATCTAATCAAAAATGCGGTCCAACAGTAAATTGAATACATTACACTGTGCAACATTGGCATCCCTCCCATTTCTACTTCATTTTCATTTCTTCCCATTTTATTGCACGAAATTAGGTAGAATGGAAGAAATGTATAAAAGATTCCTCATCTCTTTTTTTTTTCATGAAAAAAATATTGACAAATTTCAAATATTTAAATGTATGTGTTTAGGAGTAAATTTGAAATGTAACATTGTTCAATTGTAAATATATCAATATTGTTGTTAATTTCAAATATCCAAACATTTCATTTCAAAGAGCATTTCAAATATGTGAATATTAACAATACATGCAAGTTATAAAAATTCTTAATTATGCTAATATATATTTAGTTTTGTTATTATTATATAAATGATATTTGTCATGATGAATTCATGATAAACTAATGTTATGTTTAGTATAGCAGTGCAAATTTGGGTAAACATTTATTTTAGCTCAATAAGCAATTTTTAGCAAATAATACACATATGTTTATTAAAGTTTAAATTTGAACATAATGATGACGAATCGAAATTCATAGTTCTTCATGTAGCATCTTTTTAGGCTCGAGTTCCGGATTAATTTCTTGTATGTACCATTGAAATGGCTTACAGTTGAGACTTTCCTTTAATTTCATGCGTTCACTCAGATCGCCTGCTTTCATTCCTTTCGCATCCGGTCGTTTCTCATAGAAGTATTTCTAAAAAAAAAATTGATAAGTGTTGAAGGTTCAGAAAAGGGAAGGGAACACATCCGAGGAGGTATCTGTTTTTTGCGATGAATTCAGATGGAGAAATAAGATAACTTTAAGGATATAACTTCCATTCAGAAAATCGAGCTTAACTTGCAATTATTTTAAGCAAAATTTTTGAGAATATTAGTTTTATATACCATGACTATATTATCTGTTGCATTTTTAACAACAAGAACTTCATAGCAGTACAAGTCAAGTAAAAATTCAGTAACTATGATAAAATATTTAGTATTAATAATTACTAAAAGCACTCGAAATATTTCTCCTAGTAAATGTATTATAACTGTGTTATATTATCATTCTTTAGGCCAATTATTTCACTTATCCGATTTAAAACCTTCTAAGATATGTATTGAAAATCTCAGCTATATCCTACCATAGGTTAATATTACATTATTGTTGTTATTACCACTTTTTTCAAAGGACAAGTGTTCATCACTTTTAGTAAAATAAAAATGAAGCATCGACTCACATCATAATCATCGAACCAAATTTTAATGGTTCGCAGCGAATTATATAACTTTGAATCTACACCTGGTTTGTTCGTATATGGACGACGCGTACGAAATACGTGGCCAACGTGACTGCATGGTGCTACTAAGATGGATCCACCGCAAAGCCACATCTAAATATTTCTGAATCTGAATAATTTTATCAGATATTAGCGACATCACTAGTTATATTTTAATACTAAAGTTGGTTAGAATAATATTTTGGATCGGTCGACGTTTTGATATCAATATAGCAGCTGTGAATATGTGAAAAAGTTATGAAAATTATGACAAATGTGGAAATTGTGAATCGATCACAAGTTTGCGATGGGATTTCTCATTAACGATCCTATTTTTACTCAGCATTAAGTACTCTTACAATACCCAATTAAATTCAGTATTATCATTATTATTAATAATTTCAATTCAGTATGTCGGACTAAGCCGTAATACACTTAACGATAATCATCAAATTCTCGAATTTACAGCCAGTTAGACCATTTAAGAAGTTATAGCAAAAGATATTAACGTATGGAACGATATGTATAAATGTTTCAAATTCTACGAACCCGAATGGACATTTCGATATTTTCAACTCCCCAGATCTCCATTCCGGTATCATACTCACCCATTGCATGGAAATATTTACGGTCAATTGCTAGTAAACCGCCTGACATAGTCGATGATCTATAAGCAAAAGAAAAAAAAAATACTATAATTTTCTCAGAAATACTTGGAATATCACAAATATCTATAATCTCAAAATTAACAGAATCTATCCTGCTCAAATGCAATGTTTTATTCATTATGATTATATGGGTCGAGGAAACTGTTAGAATATCGAGCTATGAAACTATTTTCCTAATCCAATTCATTTGTTTCACAAGTTATAATACTATGTAATGCTTAAATGTTTGGAAAACGTTAAGAGAATTAATAATAAATTTACAGAAGGAATAAAAATTATTTTAAGCTGCAATATTATTATATATAGTAATTCTGGTGCTACACTGTGGTAGCTATCAGAAAAAAACAAGGAACACAGAATACCAACCGAAAGGGTTTAATATTGTTTTCCGGTAAATCCCAATACTCCCATGGAATATATTTCCACTTGAATTCAAGATCCCAATTAAATGCGCCCTTTGCTATCATTGCTTTGGAAAATTCAAACGTTTTTGCACTAATTAAATCAACGACTGGAAGAACAACTCTAAATTGCTTTGATTTTATTCATAATTTAAATAGAAGTTTTGGCTTTTTCAATATCATAACGTTTACATTTTGATCTCAGATACTCTTTACTTATTATTTGCTATTAGAATGAACTTTTGAACTTGTTGGCCTATTTTGATCCGAGAAAACTTATCATAAACTCTACAGCATACGAGAAAGAATTTTGATCAGTTACATTTTTGCTTAGCTATTCTCTTTATCAACAAATTCATATATATGAGTAGACATAAATTAGAAAACATAATTTACTTTACTCTCTGACCTTGTGGAATCTTCCTGTATTGGCAGCAATAAAGGTTCAATCCATAACGGAGTTACTTCACAATGGCTATCCAAGAATATGAGAACATCACCATGGGCCACACGTGATGCGTACACCTGAAAATAAAAAAAAAATTACAATATTGCGAAGCAAAAGATTACTACTACCTGTGCCTTTATCTGTGACTATTTATTTAAGTTATACAGATTTGCCTAAATTTAAAGTAAGCGCATTTTTAAAAATAACTGCACTTCCGGCAGAAAATTTTTTATTCCTAGCCAGAAACTTACTTACTATTTAAGTGATAAATTAATTCCTCAATAAAAAGATCCTGTCGTTCATTACTACGCTGCGTGATTATTTTTTCCATTGGCCATTGTACATAATTGCCATAAGTGATAACGTGATTAATGAGCATTGTATCATAATCACTATAGTCATCATATAAAATAATCTCTTGAAGAAGATTAGATGGAGTATGATCGAAAATACTGTTTAACATACGAATTAATACAGACAATGCTTCATTGTGATAAATAATAACTATGCTTACAGTTAAACTGATATTGCGAGGTAATGTTTCACATCTGAAAAGAAAAAAAAAAACAAACAAACAAATAAATTTTTGAATAAGATTAAACTAGCAAAGTAAGATGAAATTTTAAACATTATAAATTTTTCAGTGAAATAAAGCTTGTCAATAACTGAAAAAAAGAATGCGAAAATCAATTTATACAGTAATATAATGAACAAATCGTCAATATGAAGATAAAAGTTGTAGCAATATCTTTTTAAGTATCATTTCAACTTTTGAGATATAAAAATTCGGGAAATTCTATGAATGACCGATCATAAAATATTACAAAAAATCCCAAAAAAATTTTCATAACAAGTTTCTTACAATTCATGATAAACAGGTGATAATTTACGACGTGGTCCAATTTTATCACTTGTCACTACATCATAGGCAAATTTCTTGATACCCCATTCATATCGTTGTCTCTCTGCTTCATTTGCTATCATATTACTTTCTTTTGGTGTAACTGGATCACAATTGCTAACATTAGCATTAACTGTTGACCAAGATATTACACTGAAATAATTCCTTTAAAATTATTCACATTCATCTATGAAATTTAACATAATATAGAAATGCTTTAGATCTTCGGGCTATAGAAAATCTAAAAATTAACTTATATAGAAAATAAATGCAGTTAAAGTGTAAAATCCAAAAAAAAAAAAAAAGTTTTAGGAAAAAAATGATATGATGAATGAAGATAGGATATGTATTCTAAGAGATAAAACAATTTTGAAAATTCAAAAAAATTATTAAAACTTACTCCATGTATGGATCAACATGTTCGCATTGCTTTAGCTTAACTTCAGGCTTTTTTAGCTCATTTTCATTTAAAATTTCATTTTCTTCCTCTGATACTTTTTCAATAGAAATTTTGGAAATATTTGTTCCATTAGCAGTAGTATTAGTTGTAAAATACTGAAGAAGTATCGACAGAAAAATGTTCGTTAATAACATGCAGCAGTGGTTTGAAGAGAAAGGAACGAATGATGAAAATGACATTGAAAAGGACCCAAATAATGATGATAATGGTGACGATGTACGACGATAGAGGACATTATTATATCAGTGGAAGATGAATGATTTCAAATACACTCCTCTGAAAAACTATATACCATTCCTCTAAAATAGTATTTATGTTTTTAATGTTCAATGTTCAAAACACTTACAAGCGAACAATTGATTCTAAATTTTTCTTATAGACTTCCTCTTAAAATCATTTGGTAATAGATCATTGTGCAGTCATTTATACACGTTAGAAAAATGATTCAGCAATAAATACTTTTTATAATTTGACTTTTTTCTTTTTCTTTGCACAATGAACTTCTAAAATTAATGACAGTAATTAAATACTGCAACAAAATAAGACAACTCTTATCATTTTTCTCATTTCACAAAGATTGAGAATTAGCTGGAAACACAGTAGCACTTAAAAAAAAAAGAACCATTGTTTGTAGATGGATTTTTTATGATGGAATTTACGTATAGAATGATTAGTTGAATGATCAGTTCCAGTGACTAACATTATGGAACATAATACAACAAAAACAAAAACCAATAAAAGACAGTTTCTTACAATAATTATTTAGATAATTGTTACCAATTTCAATTTCATTTCTATCCTGCAATAATAATCCATGACAATAAAACATTTCTGAACAAATAAAAACATCGCTCAGAGGTGTATTAATTTTGGACTAGATAATTAATGATATGAAATGTTCAAGTAATAATCAGTCCATTTATATGAGAATTCTCAAACATTTGATAAAAAATATCGAAAATATCTGAAGACTAATCTTTTCTTACCTTTGCATCTTAGTAAGTCATCCAATTATTTCAGCTATACATATCCTTTTAATGAAAACAAAAATAATTCTAATCAAAATCAAACAAATGCTTAAGAATGTTGAAATGTTCCCCCCATTTTTCTAATGGTCTCCGGTGCAGTCAAAGTGACACCTAATTTCGCCACCGTATTAAAATTTGAAAAAAAAAAAAAAAAAAACGTATAAAACACATTGAAGAATCAGTCAATGATCGAGGTCTGCTGAGTACTGATTGTATTAAAAACATGTGACTTTACAAAAATGCTGGAAGGACCATAAAAATCATTAAAAAAAGTAACAAAGAAACATGGAATTTCCAAATGATGCTATCGAATGTTCCGGAAAATGTGAAAAAAAAAAAAATGATCAATGACTTCCAAGAAAAAATGTCGTGCCTACCTCAACTTCCTGCTCTCTGTATGGAAAAGGCAAAAAATCAAAACTCCCAAATTGGATAATAAAAAAACCAGATATGTCCAACTTTACTGTTCATAGCTGCAATCATTGATAAGGTAAATTTGATCAGTCCAAAATTTATCTTTTTCCCATACAATTTGCAAAACGTTTTTTGGAAAATGTCAGTCTCAGACTTTCAATACTTTTTAGCTAATGTTCCAGCCTAAATTGCAGGTTTCTTGAGCTCTCAAACACCACCAACATCAACACACGAAAGAACAGATAAATACATGAAACTTTTTGTTATACCCGGATTGTTCATTTTCCTATGAAAGGTTTACAACAGAAGGAATCAATGTAATTAGCAAACAAGAAAAAGGCAACGTACACATAGATATAAGCACACGAAGACAGAAGATATCCCATAATAATAAAATAAACTTTAGATTTACCTTAAAAACCGATTAAGTTTCAGCCGTGTTGCGTAAGCTTATTTATATAACCTAGAAAAGCTGCTTTATAGCTCAGCTTCATGTTTTAAGTTCATTTTCGAAGAATGAAATCGTTTAAAACTTTTTTTCAAAAGTTCGGAATTTTTATCACAATGAGAACCATTCCCAAACAATCAAGAAAAAAAAAAAACAATACTAAATGAATCAGTTCAATGAAGCACTATCCCGTAGGAATTAGTAATGTACACGTTAAAAATATAAATAGAGAAATATACAGCACATAAAACAAACCCAGTAAACAATCATTACTAAAGTTATAGCCAGTGAAGCAGCAAAGAGTGAAATACCAGAAAAAGAATAAACGGAAATTTTCAACAATTCCTGATAAAACTGTTTCTCTTCACATAAGAAAATAATCAAATTCTTTACAGGAAAATAAGCGTACAACACTGACCACAATTACAAATCACAACTAAAATTAATTTGTAGATGAATAAAACCGGATTATTCTACCACTTACTGTCTGCCATTGCCCATGGCTTCATCTACGCTTTTGCGTACCACATCACCCGCTTCCGAAACCGATGTACCACTATGCCGTCGTATTTTTGGTAATACATCTTCATAAGAAATATTATGGTCTTTTAACAGTTGCTTCAATTTATCATTTTCTAACTGTAGGAAACTCACGCGATCCGCTAGTTTACCGTTAATCTTTTCCAAATGCATATATTCTCGTGCAACCTGAAACAAATGCACATATTTGGGTTACTTAACCTTGTAAAATTAATAATTTAAATGTTCTTCCCTTCGCATTTGAATTCTTATACGCGTACAGCTTCCATCATCATCACAAAATTTTTATAAAAATATTATTTTATTAACAATCTTCGTCTCATTACTAGTTTATATATGTTCCTCTTTTTCTTGTAGTAACTCTTTCAAATAAATTTTTTTTTTAATAACATCGCCAAATGTTGGACGCAAAAAGAGTCACAAGGAGTACACATTACTAACTGAATCTGAAAATGAATCGAAGCTCAGTCTCCTGAACTACATTCATGCTTCCTCCAGCTATTGATTAATACCATCATTAACATCAAGGAGGAGAAAGTAAGAAGCATACATCATCTTTAGTCATATTACTGATGCGCTCCATATTGACATAATCATAATCAGCATCAAATTGCCGCTCCATCTCATCATCTTCTGCACCTGAATAACTTGCACTGTCGGTTGTATTACCACCCATTTCAGATCCTGACTGACCAATGGTACCACATCTATAAGCGAATAATTTTACCAATGAATTATTTATGAAAAAAAAAAGAAAAGAACATGCATGTAGAGCTCTTCTCATATGTTTGCAAAGGGCTGCTTTAACTTCCAAACGTTTTCTAGAACAATACATTAAAATCTGCGTATATTCTGACCACATAAACAAGTCTCTATTATATGAACAGAATATTGGACAAATTGGGATAAATCAATCTTCATCACCAACCAAAATGGAACGAATTCTCAGTACGGGAAACTCTTTTCCTTCATTTACTAAAATTCCCTCTTTATAACCAATCGCCCTCATAATGAAAGGGCCACCACACAAAAAAACTGTCACTCTGAAAATATCTCATCCCAAATGCAACACAATAAGTAGATCCCTGCCTCTGCCTTGAGTTGCCAGTTTCGTTACCACTACTGTTACTGTTATCATTTCTTGCGGATTCTACATTCCGGCAATTTCCGAAGCTAAGCATCACGGTGCTCAGGAATTGAATGACTCGCCAAATCGACTATATGAAAATCTGCTCGCCTTTGGAGATTTTCAGAGTCGATCGAAAATAGAGCGTGGCACATGCGCGTATGTATGTGAATATACGTTGTTGTCGCAATACGCTCATCACATTTTTTTTAGCATAATTGCAAACAACGTCTAGAAAAATTTGGACCGATTTAATTTTTTTTGGACAAAAGTTTTTATTAAGCTGTACTTTAATTACGTTGCCGTAATAGCTAACACGTGATGTTATACTTCATTCTTGACGTCATGTAGAACTACTCCTTTTTTTTTTCTAGAAAACAATTATTGGTCCACTCGAAATTATAAGAGATGAATGAAAAACTGCTTTTATAATTTCTTCCTACAATTAAATAATAAGAGGTGCGAGCTAAACCAAATATCATAGTAATAATAGTACAAATGTCTATTGTTTCATGGAGCTCTTAGAGAACTGAATCATCACTAGCGACCAGTGCACACATTATATAAGGATACCAGAATCAAATCTTATTGATTCTTGTGCATACATAATAGAGAAGTGTAACTAAACTTAGGCCATGTATAGTATAGTATAGCAAGAGTTTAAATCATGAAAACAAGTACAGGAATACTGAAGAACGTAATATGAAAAGAAAAAAAATTCTATTATTAGTAACAAAGGAATTAATATAAACCTTTCACGAGCTGGTGAAAATACTCCTGTAGATTGCCGTTGATGTGCAACCATCGCAGGTAACGAATCGCTGACATCTGGCGGCATCGTACGCTTCTCATGATCTTCCACTAGGAATTGCGTCGTATTGTACGGTGCCATAGGCTTACCACGTGAAAACAGTCTTAAAAAAGAATCGTTCATAACTTTAGAATCGATTTCACTCAGTTCGGGACATTTGTAGTTAAAGTTTTCAGAGATTTTTCTTAAATCTGCTCACTAATATTCGACAAATGTTCCAGGAAACAACATTTACGGGATCACGCATCTCAGTCTCCACTTACGGGATCACGCAGATTCCATACTATTCTTATGGAATAGAATAAATCAGGTGTTCTCCTTATTTGTTCCAAAATATATACTCGTATCTATACTGGTAAGATATATTTCATTTTATGCTTGATTATACTGCACTTTATATTTGATTATACTTCGAATAAAAAAAAAAACAATCTACATGTAGTAAATCAAACTTCAGTTCCCTCTCTAAATTTGAAATTACATCTGTCTTGCTATATTGCTGTTTTAGTAGTTTGCAACTTTTATTAAAAATCATTTATAATGTAGCTGTTCTGCACTTCATTGCACCTTAATCACTGACCACCAGACATACAAAGGAGTAAGGCTCAAACACATGCAGTGAATATGAATATCAATTCCATAATGTAATTACACATCAACTCCAACAGTGATTTGATATTGTTTGAGAATGACTGATTTCATTCAATAACTGAATTTGACTGGTAAATAAATCTGAATCTTTTACAATAAACTTACCGAATAAATAAAATATAACCTAAGGTATTCTAAAAATAGTTGGGTGAAAGTCTACAAGTGAAACATCAAGTTTGACTTTCCATTAAACATATCTTCTGTTAAATATATACTTCCATAAGATTCAAAATGCAGATATGGCTTTTCACGTATTTTAAAGGAACTATTCTGAAGAACCTGCTGAAGGAGCTAGAGCAAAGCCCGACATTATTAAGTTACTGACCTAACCAAATCGGGCCCAAAATGGTTTCATTGGAACTAACCTTTCTCGCTTTTCTACTGCATTTCGTTCTTCCTTCTCTTCCTGGGCAATTTTTTCCTTCAGCGATGTGCGATATGGTTTCCAGCGTCCTTTTCCACCCCTCCTATAACTTTACCTTATTTTACTATTGATTTATTTACCAAAAGATTATAAAAAGAAAATGAACAGTGAACTAACATCTCTTAGAAACTACACAATCAAAATCACTGAGACCAAAAAACACCCTTCACAATGGTTTTACAAAACGAAGAACGTAATATAAAAAATCTTCCTATTGATACCAAAAATGAAATAATTGTTAAAACTAAATTAACTTTGTCTCTGGTGACTAAAATAAATATATTCTCATGCATATAATTATCTCCTATCTAAATTATCATTTGTTTTCTCTTAGTTGCTAGTAAAATTTTCTGCAATTTCCATAAAATATATAGAAAAAAAAAAAAAAATGATAAAAAGATAAATCCTTTCACAAAAAGGATAGGCTTTTCTGAGAAATTTTATTACTCTAAAAAATAAAAAGTTCAAAAAAAAAAAAAAAAAAAAAAAAAAAACAGAATAATGCAAACCTTCTACGTGATTTCTTTGTTTTTGCATGTGATGAATTTGCCGAAAGAACCCCGTGATCTGGAATTCTTCCAGAATAATTTTGCTCATTCTTTGGATCATTTTCCACGGTTGTTTGATAGCTTTCATCGGTGGAAATATCACGCAAAACTGCAACAGCAACTTCGTCATCGGTACCTTCCATCGATGCAATAATAATATCATGTTCTGGTTGCAGTTGTTCTGATAAATGCTGCTTCGAAGTATGCTCTTGATCTTGTTGCTGATTTTGTTGCTTATCGGGTTGGTCTACGACAGTTGCAGTCATCGTGATCGGTTGTCACTTAAAATAGCCCGTACCAATGTCCCCAGCAAGAAAAAAAAAAGAAGAAAAAAATGGGCTTTTTCAAATGGTTCCGTGGAATTTGAAAATTGTTCAAATGAAGAGCGACCCAATGTAGGAAAAATGGAAGGTCAAAGGTGAACTAACTAATCTAAACCGTACTACTTTCTACCGTATATCGTTTTAGTGCTATAACACACCACTAAAACCTCCCTTCCCTCTGTCAACCAAACCCGATTTGCTGCTATTACTGTAGTGTGAAGGTCACTTCGTAAACGTATGCTCGTTTACGTATCTTTGTTATAGATGACTGTCCACTTACTCTATATTTATGTGTAAGCTTACGTCTATATGTATACGTGTATTTGCACGTATACTTCCACAATGTGTACACGTGGGCGCGTGTATACGTGTGTATGTATAAGAACGCGTGAGTGGGTCCGCGTATGCTCGTGCGTGCACGTGTGTATGTACCTGTATGTGTACGTGCGCGTGTGCGTGCGTGTATGTGTGTGTGTGTATGTGTGTGTATGTGCGCTAAACAACGTCACCGCTGACTACAGCTCCAACACTGATTGCAGGAACCGCCTTTAGCGCTTCTTTTATAATAGCAATGAGAGCGCACGCGACGCAGCACGCACGCCTCACTACTCCGCACGCGTCCTATAAACAATTTTTGGTATTGCTGAAATGGGCAGATGCGAAATAGTGCCTCAAATATGTGCAAATTTTTACGATTAGTTTCCGAGAAATCGCGGGTAATTTCATTTGGAATTAATTGGTCAAATTATGAGAATTTGATTGATTGTAAAATTTTTGATGTTTTTGAATTAATTTATTAATTCAAATTTTTATGATTTTAATTTGTTGTATAAAAATTTCTGAAATTTACTATTGAAAATGTGACAAAATATTTGTTTTTTTATAAGAAATGAATAATCTAAGCTAACCTTTGACCTCAAACTATAATTTATATTTTAATTTGTATAAATTTTGCTCAAAATTCAAATTTAATTATAGGTAAAAAGGAAAAGATATATTTTAATTTGTATAAATTTTGCTTTATATTTTAATTTGTATATAAATTTTGCTTAAAATTCAAATTTAATTATAGGTAAAAGGAATATATGTGATAAATAAGTATATTATGTTTAAATTGCAATGAGAAAATTAGCAAATATTAATTTAATTATTGTTGAAAATCTCGAGAATTCCTTATTAACAATCATTCATTCATTCATTTAAATTATTATTTAATTTGTCTTTCTTTTTCCTTTCATTCTTTATTTCAATGTTATAAATAAATTATTATTGAAAATAAACTTTTTGCAAAAAGTTTATTTTTCTCAAAAAATTTCCAAAATTTAGAAATGTATGATTGGAATGAATGTTAACAATCATTTCGCCAAAAAAAAAGGAAAAAAAGCATTCAATTATGCTTCAGATAGTAACGTAAGTGTTTTTTTTTCCTTTTGTTTCTTTTTTTTTTTTTTTTTTCAAATGATTTCGAAAAAGAAAAAAAGTAAATAAATTTATGGTTAATAAAAATATTCATTATTTATTCAAAAATTTGAATATAAATGTATTATTCAAGTACTTTATTATCGTACAATTTAGATCAAAAATATTTGGTAATGATGATAAATTATTGGGAAAAAGTAGAGATGTAATTAGAGAAAAAGATGTTCGATAAATAAAAGATAAGATAAATACATCATGTAAATATATCACGTGAGATAAGATAAACATATCACGTAAATATATCACGTAAGATAAGATAAATACATCACGTAAATATATCACTTAAGATAAGATAACTACATCATGTAAATACATCACGTAAGATAAGATAAATACATCACGTAAATATATCACGTAAGATAAGATAAATACATCACGTAAATATATCACGTAAGATAAGATAAATACATCACGTAAATATATCACGTAGGATAAGATAACTACATCATGTAAATACATCACGTAAATATATCACGTAAAATAAGATAAATATATCACGTAAATTTGTTCCAGAGATTACGCATAATTTATTTCATGCATATAACTATTAGTTTATTCTTTAATGTCACTTACTTACGTAATGTTCGGATGTATTTCTCTATGACACATATATTCCATAACTTTTAATTAATGTAAAAAAAAAATAGTAAAATTAATGAGAAGTAAAAAAAAAAAAAATTTTTTTTTCAAACATTTTTCTAACTTATGAGAAACTGATATTTTCAGACTTCTAATGATATATGTTAATTAAATGAACTTATAAATTATACACATTTTTTTTTTTTTTGATAGAAATAATTTATAAAACTATGATGAAAATTTGCATATTGATCGGATAATCAAACATTCTATGCTTAATTTAACAATTTTATATATTTACTTACTGCATCAAAAATGTGTAATAAATTCATTTTTTGATTAGTGAAATTCATTTAATTCAAAAAAAAAAAATTTTTTTTTTTTTTTCAAATGAATATATATTAATTGTGGGATTTTTCTTTAAATTGTAAAATTTCAGAATCATCATTGTTTGATAAAAAAATATTTTAATCTTTCTTTAGTATAGCAATAAGTTTGTACTTGCTGGTATTGCTTCTGTTGCTAACATTTTGAACGGAAGCCATAATCATCAGGAAAGGTCAAGGGTCAAGAGATGAAATGAATAATTAGAGAATTACATTGTTATCTTTTATAATTAGGTATTATCCGTTAAGCTTTTACCACTGTGCAAAATGAATGATTTGCATATGGCTTTTTTCTTTCATTTTTTTTTTTTTTTTTGGTTGATATTTGTTCTTGGCCTAATTTCGTTTTTAGAATTTTAAATTTTTTTTTTTGAAATTAATTTCTTAGAATTTTCATACTTTCTGTTTGATACCTTTAGCAATGTAGAGCATTTATCTATTATTAGATTATCAACTGTTTAAGTTATTTTTGCTCTCATTAATCCGCCATTTTTTATGGAAAATATTTGATACACATAGTATTTATCTTTTCATTTTTATTTTGAAAATGTAACTGTTAATATTTTTGAAATGAATAATCCATCAATTCAAGATTTGGTGATTATTAATTAAAATTGCAAATTATTAGATTTGATTGTTTGTGCAGAAAATGGTGGTTTGACTTGAAAATACAATAATGAAATTTAAATTTGAACAAGAAAAGAAGCTTCTTCTTCTTATCAGTCAGTTACAAAAATTTTTACACATTTCGATGCAAAATTGTTTGTGTTAACTGCGCACATCACATAAATTTACTATTTATTATATAAAAGTTGTACACATTTTCTGTTTTTTGTTTTTCTCATTAACATTCTTTCAATATATGAAATATTATTCTTTCAATGTTTGAAATTCTGAATGATATTTTAGAAGTAAATTGACATTTATTCTATGATTGTATAATTAACTGTGATAGGTTAACTTTTTCTTCAAAATGTAAACAATCTTATTTTTGCCTTCTTTTGCAATGTAAAAATTTAATCAATATGATGATGATGATGAATTTATACATCCATAATTAAAATTCTTTTTTTTTTCGTTCTAAATTTTCATCTTACTTTACAAATATAAAATGAAATATATCTAATCGATTAATGAAACATATGATATGTTAGCTAGTTGTTTACCATAAATAAGAATGAAAATTTTTTGAACCAAAAAAAAAAAAAAAAAAAAAAAGAAAAAAAAAACGTTAAATTTTATCAGTGTCTGAAAAATTGTTGAAGTACAAATGATTATTACAAAGATGACAAATTTAGCCATCAATAACAATCGAAGTTGAATGTATTATTCTTATTTTGACAAGAAGGAAAAGTACTGAATGAATGATTTTTGCAACAATATTTTCTTCAATTCATGCTTATTGATAGAAAATGATAAATGAATTGATCGAACAAAAATATTATTATTGAAATTCAAAGTTAGTAATAAAATAAATAAAATATTTGCTTTCCTAGCATTTTATATTTTTAAAAAATAATAATTTAGAAAATTTTAATCCCTTCTAAAAGAATAGAAAATAATCGATTATACAGCAGCTTATTATTACTTGTGACTTATATTTGTATCACTTTTAATGAAAACTTAGAATTATCAAATTGTTAGAGTTATTGCATGATATATTTATTGATCAGTGATAAGATTTGTGATCGGAAATGAAATGGAATATTTTGTTATCAAAAAGAAAAAAAGAAAGAAATATTTGTAGCAAATAATTTCTAATAATTATTGAAAGAAATGATATTCGCTTTTTTGACATTTTCATCATTTTAACATCATTTCTTCTCAGCGATGACTTTTTTTTTTTTTTCAAGTGGGATTACTTATTGAATTTAAGTGGAAAATGATGATTAATTTATTTGAGCATATTATCTTCTTATCATTATATTATTTAAAATCTGCAGTGATTAATATTTTATTGATAATTTAAGAAGAGAAAGTCAAATCTACAATTATATGAGAATAACAAATGATAACAATGTTTATAATAATAATATAATATTTTATTGATAATTTAAGAAGACAAAGTAAAATGTACAATTATATGAGAATAACAAGTGATAACAATGTTTATAATGATAATACTATTTTTACTTATTATTGTTAATTACTATTATTGTGATAATCATACATGAGAATTCATAATTAACAAAACACTCATAATTGCAGTAAACAAAGCAATTATCAGTTCATAAACAAAAGATCATATTATTAATGAATTGCAATTATTAACAAATTGCTATTACTATCATTATCACTAATTACTATTACTGCAAATTATTGACATTTATCAAAAATATCACCACGAAACGAATTGATAACCTGAAAAGTAGCAATAATTCAATATTTGAGCAATTGCATCATTCATTTGTCATTGTGCTGTGACATCAAATGAAGTACCATGTGACAAAAAGATCAATAAAATTGATATTAGTGTAATATCTCATATCAATTTATCAATTAATCATATCACTGAACTAAATGATTTCTATTATCAAATAGTGATTGCTTCAAAATGCGTTGTTAGTTTATTTGTAATGATGAAAAAAAGTAAACAAGCAGAAATGTAAACATATTCCAATAGCATGAACAGAAATAATCTAAAGGTAAAATTATTCACTCCATCATATATATTCTTAGTATCATTTGTTTACATTTATAAAATGTTTATTTCATTGAAAGAATATCCTAATTTCATCTCTTTTCTTCTCTATTGCTCCCTCTCTCTCTCTCTCTCTCTCTCTCTCTATAAATAGATAGAAAGAGAGAGAGAGAGAGAGAGGAGAGATAGGGAGGAGATTGTGATCGTTGGCAAAATTGATTTTCAACTTACAAACAAATTACGGTTGTTTATGAAAGCAAAGAAAAAATTTTTGAAATACTAGAAATTGCTGATAAACATGAAATAAATGAATAAATAAATGAAAATAAAATTTGAAAAAAAAAAAAAGTGAGAAAATGAAATAAAATTTATTAATGAAACAAATATTAAATGAAATATTTTTTATTTAAATTATCAATATAAACTGTACAAATTTATTAATTTTACATTTATTGAAAATAAAATTTAAAAAAAAAGTGAAAAAATGAGAAATTAAATAAATAAATGAAATTTATTAACAAAACAAACATTAAATGAAATATTTTTTATTTAAATTATCAATATAAACTGTACAAATTTATTAATTTTACATTTATTGAAAATAAAATTTGAAAAATAAAGTGAAAAAATGAAATAAAATTAAATAAATAAATGAAATTTATTAATAAAACAAACATTAAATGAAATATTTTTTATTTAAATTATCAATATAAACTGTACAAATTTATTAATTTTACATTTATTGAAAATAAAATTTGAAAAAAAAAGTGAAAAAATGAAATAAAATTAAATAAATAAATAAAATTTATTAGTGAAACAAATATTAAATGAAATATTTTTTATTTAAATTATCAATATAAACTGTACAAATTTATTAATTTTACAATTATTAAAATTATTTATAAAAATAATTCAACAAAAAAAAAAAAAAAAAGTGACATTAAAATGTCATTGAAATGCCATCAACCATCTTTTTCTCATTATTTCTTATACCCAACTTTCTATCTACTTGATCTGTCTATAATCATTGATCATTGTACAATTTAATCATTCGACAGAATATCTTATCAGTGATATCACTACTTATCAATACTTATTAAAGTAACAACAATCATTTGTTCAAACAATTTTTAAGTGCTCAATTTTAGGTGCAATTTTTTATATTATTTATATATATTCAGTTTTTTTTTTTATTTCAAATATTAAAAATTTCATTTTGGAAAAAATTTTCTGAAAAAAAAATGACAAAAGAAAAATTAGTAATAATAAAGATGAAATTTTCATTAAATTACTATTTTTCTTTTTTAAAAAATACTTGTAAATATTTATTTTATTACCTTTTTTTTAAAAAAAAGAGAATGCTTTGATAAAAGTTATTAAAATTATTAATAAATTGTTTTTATTTTTGAAAATAATTATGAAAGAAAATTTTTAACGTACTTATTTTTTAATATAAATTGTTTAAATTATTTTTAATAATATTTTTAATATAAATTGTTTTAATTTTCATTTTATTTTGATAATTTGATAATTCAATTCATATTTTTATTTTTAATATTTTGTTCAAACATTTTTTTAATATAAATTGTATAAATTTATGAATAATATATTTTTTATTGATAATTTGATAATTCAATTCATGCAATTAAGTTTCAATAATTTCACTTTTCGAGTGCTTTTTTTTCTAGTGATAAGCTTATCAATTCATTATCATTTCATGAAATGGTTTAAATTTTGAATTGAGAAATATATTGCAAACAGTGTAATTGCTGTATTTTTACTGATAATTATTACCTAATCAATTTTTCATTTGCAATTTTACAATCATCAAACAATGATAATAACTATTGATAATTTGATTTTATAACTGATTAACATGGCCTGATTGATTTACTTTTGTATTTTTTATAGGTACTATAAAAAATGTTTGAAATTTTTATTAATTTTTTTTTTTAAAGGTTTAAGTTTAAAAGTTTAAAATTTAAGTTAAATAATACTCAATTGTACTATTTTGTTAAATAATAAATCGTTTTTTTTTTTCCTTTGAGACATTAATTCGATCTTTCCTTTTCTTATTTTTTCTTTTATTTTTTGATTCTTATTGTTATTTACTTATTTACTCTTTTATTTACTTACATATTTACTTTATTTACTTATTTACTCTTTTATTTGTTGATTGTTATTTTTAAATTTGCTACCAATTATATATTTTAGATGAAATAATTTCAAAATAAATATCACTTTGAAATTTATCACTAATAATTTTTCAAAAATATTTTTTCTGGTGATCTTTTCGCCTTATCTGTATCATTAATGCTCTCGCTGAATTTGGATTTTTCGGCGCTAACACTTCTCAACTGCCCAACTAACCTTATCACTTATCATAAGACATTAATTAATTATCAAATTGATTAGATATAATAATTGCAGCAATTAATTCTATTTTCATTATTTTCATTTTTACATCTATCACACCTGCATATTCATTCAACAATTTAATAGTACCGTGAAGATTTAATTTTTAATTTGAACTATATTTTCTCATTTAAAT